CAACAACAATTCCAGGTGCTGTCATACCGATTCATCCATTCAAAATGACGAGAGCTGTCGGAATGCAGACTGGCCCCAAGACAGTTATGGTCCTCACCCGCATGCTGAAAACCCTGATCCTCCGAGTTTTCATCCAATGGACCACTGCCTACCGCAGCACTAATCTCTCAGGCTGCAACTGCAGATTCAAGCGTTCTGAGACCATGAGTAACAGCAGTTGCAATTAGACATGGAAATTGATATCACAGAAATGCAACGACCGATAAATAGCGTAGAGCTGTTGGAGCAGAAAGTAGCGGTTAGCAAGCACTGTCTTGCCGATTGTACCAAATAATCCAACGTCACAAAACTGGATGTGTTCCATTGGGATAAATCTGCTTATTACGAAACCGTTGTTTAGAGACTATCCGCGTGCGCAATCAAAGCATCAATGGTGTTGAATTCCGAAAACACTATTACTACTGTCTTAATATCAGTAACGTAATCAATCTGACACAAAATGTTTCCCGGTTCAGGAGTCAGCCGCAAAAAACATGGCAACCAAGAACGGGTGGTATTACATTACAGCCAGCAGCTCAGCCACCACAACCGTCACTAGCGGGACATTGATTTATAAAAAGCACATCCATGATTTCGAACAGCATAGGATCCGAAGTATATGAGTGGCACTGACGAACCCCGTTAGAACGAAATGACCATATCGCTTTTTGTGGTGGATCTCAAATTTGGCTTAGTTGTGAAAAATCACCGGTACAAGCCTCATGCCACGGTTTTTCTAGAAAAATCTAGGTCTCATTCAGTATCGCATGCGGCAGACAAGTATCCAGCATAGTGGATAAGGTAGCAGCCGAGATGCAGTGCAGGTTGAACATCCGAATGGGTGAGCAAATGTGCAGAGTCCCGGATAGCAGACAAGGCAACTATACACAAGCAACTAGATTGAACAGCCGTTGAACGGCATCCCCTAGCGGATGCGAGAAGGGCACGACCTAATCGGAAGGATGTGAGAACCCGGTAGACCCGGAGAATGGGTCAGTTGGTCAACTATGATCCGAGATGTGACAGATTCAGTGGCAATACACCATGCCGGTGTGAAAAAAACGGCTAAAAATATATGGGGAAAATATAAAGGGAAAACAACAAACATACAGACAGCAGTACAAGACAAAAGAAATCAGAGAAGGTTATAAATGATGGGTGAGAAGACGAACAGCCAGGATCAACAGACGAGAAGTGAAGTAGAATCGCTGTATCGGAAGTAATCCCCAACTATCGGTGTGACAAACCCCGTGGACGGGATCCAGAAATACAGCATGAACAAGCCGGAACATGACCTTCCATTTGGTTTCCTCGTAGATTTCCACGATTTCACCGGCTGAACGTGCTTAGGGCCCAGTGTGATCTAGTAAAAAATAATCTACATCAAGCCGGGTATTCAAGCGGCATCAGAGGAACGTGACCCAGACCTCACAAGAGAAGTAAGACAATCTAAACGTCTTGACGAAAAATAACGGAGGTGCTCAGATGTTTGTCTGCTCGCTGAATAATTGATCTGAACTCCCGCGATAGCGGTAAAGCAGGTAGTTGCAACAACCACAGTGGGGTTCGCCGATGGCGACATTTCATATGGTCAGTAATCAAAGTAAATGCATGTGGCATGCGGCGATTAAGTGATAAAGTGTGTGCAGAGATATTTACAGGGCATCGCACGTGTCATATATGCCAAGGCAGTGCAAGTTCCAACATCCCGATCTTCAAAACTTATATGAGCAACGACACAGACGAAACCGGTGGTAGCCGCGATGATAAGGATTTTTCAAAATCTACACATAAGCGAGAATCCCATCAACTGCAACGTCAAAATGAGAGTAAAATGATTGGATTTAAACAGCCGTCACTCGCTCCAAAATTAAATGTGTGGCGTAGATGGTGAAAGACTTGACTATTGTGCACTCATAAGACGTAGAATTAAACGTGGAAACACAGAATAAGCACGCAATCAGCCACACAGTGTTCACCACTCAACAGGCATTTGCACCTGCTGATCATTACGTTGCACTACTAGAGCGGTGAAATGCTAGTCATCGGCCAGTAGATGCGCATACCTGACAAACAGCAACGGCATAAAACCTAGGCTGTGTTTCCTTGCAGTTCGACGAATCATGGTTGACGGTACCCGACTCCAAATTTGCAGGTCATTGTAGCAGCGAACAGCCATAAGGCACTTGCTAACATAGAGGGACAAAATGTGTCCTGAGCTGAATCACACACATGCCTCATATTCGGTAGTGAGGAGAAGGAGGATGAGTAAAAAAGAGAAGCACATGGGGGAAAGATGCGAGTGTTAACCAACGGCGATCAGGAGTCAGGCAACAACACGCATAACGCTCATGGGAATAGGGGAATCCGCGTGATCATGAAAACGTACAGAGAACGCAAATGAAATGCGCACCAAAGGAGTAGAAGTGCATTTCTAAACGTCCGACAAGAGTGGATATCAGTACCAGTGTAGGGTACCTGATGGAAACGTGCATGTCAGAAGCAGGAGCCACAGAAAAATCCTCGATGGAAGCAGCCTTTTATTTAGCAGCTCTTTGAAGCTAACATTACATAGATAAGTTTGCAAAGTTGTCAGGGATCGCACTGTACGCAGCCATGCATGGTATCACAAAGGAAACAAGTGCCAAGTATGTGATGACAAATAGGTGACCACCAAACATCATCGATTAAAACCAATAACCACATCGACCCAGGCTCACCGTTAAATCGGACACAGTGGTGGCAGATCGAACATGCGACCTAACTGTTTTGGCCATGGTTCTGTCCAGTGTCTATTTGCTGGCTACCGGATCAAATACTCAAATAGATAATGAGAACCGACAGCGACACAGATCAATCATCGTATGCCTGCACACACACACACACCCGACCGGAGTGTTAACATGCAACTCATCCACCACAATAAAAGAGGAGAACGAGTAACGGACGATGTCGAGATGATTCGTAAGAGATCAGATCCGAACTAGTTCTGGTAAAGTGATTGGCAAATGAAGCACTCCATAGGACTGAAAAGATGATTGATGTTACCCACGTTTATAGATTCTAGTCAACCTCAAAAATGGTCCAACATTCAGTGTAGCTAATCCAATCCAATATATGCAGTCCTTGGGCTTCCGATACGCATAGTGTCTACTATGTGGTACTCTAGGATAGCATGGAAGGTTTCTGGCTTTAGAAAAGATCAGGCAGTAGCGAAATGTTTGGAAAATTTGTTTTCAACCTAAATGTATCCACGAATAAAAAGTAGAGTAGAATGTGACAAATGCCAGCACTGTAGTGGCACATAATCTACACGAAACAGATCCACCACAATTAGATCAGAGTGAATGCCACTTAAGCAAACATCTAGTTAGAAAGACGCGCCCCCTCGACGACTAGAATTCATTTACTACATTAGTAGGTAATACTTTCTTTGAATTGCAGTAACTGTTAACACAGCCTGAGCATAGAAGACTTTCAAGCCCGTCCCCATGCCAGCAGCCTGAGCGGAGGCTTGGACCAACCCGGCTGGAAGCCTACTAGCTGGGATCTATCCAACAAGAACGCTTCTCTGTTGAAACCAACCAAAGATAGCAGTTAGAGTTAACCAACGAAAGCGTTGACAGGCCTCTGGTAGTTTCTGGTAACACTTAAATTTTATGTGGACCTTTGCGTTGCATAATAGCAGAGCCATCCTAATTGTTAACAACGCTGTAATTTCTGCAGCCCAAATGGAGGTTAGCTAATGGCCTTTATATTCTTATTTGGGAAGTGCCTGGTCCGGGATTCGAAATACTCTTATCGGTTATCCGGGTTGCTACCCAGAACACCACAGCAACGTAATCGAAGTGAAAGCGTAACATCGACTATGCCCTACACTTGAAATGTGACAATGTGACTGGTGTAGACAATTAAAGTGCGCGTTGTCACAATCGATCACTTGGTCGCGACGACCGTTGACGCCCAAATATACCACAAGGTTAGAATGTTCCGATTTGTCAGCGCGTCATTGAAGTACAACACTCATGAGGAATCCCTAAGAGTTTGGGTTGCTGTCCAATTCCGGAAAATCAAGTCTAGTTACTGACACGCAGCTAGAGAGTTGGCAACAGTCTAAGCGGGTTTGGCCTTTGCGTACGCATCTCGAGCAGGATGTACCAATTTAACCAAACAGCTCGCGCAGTTTAACTTCTGACTGGCGACAATCCGTCATGAGGATCTCGCGATTGTGAGATACCGACAGTGTTGGTACAGCCCTTGTAGCTGATTGGGTCTACACGGTCAGTCCTATAGCGAATGCCGATGGGGGAAATAATTAATTTGGGACCTTTTTGAAACTCAACCCGAACACTAAGTTTGTACTATATTTTAATCGTCCGGGAACCGAGGTAAATTTGACCTGGCAAACGAAGAGGTTTCAAACGGTAGTTACATCCACCTCAGTCAAAGGATAAGATAACAAATATGTGCAGTCATTCAGGGATCCTCGAGAAGGTCTATGTTACCAGCGGAACTATCGACGATACCGCTGAGATGACATGAAACCGAGACACCAGACAATGGCAGCTGACCAAGCCCGTCTGTTGAGGATATAACACGAACTAAAGAAGTGATAATTGGTAAACGGATGGTGTTGCACATTTCAACATTGCATCGGAAAGATAACAGGAAGGTGTAATACCTGAAACTGCACGAATTCGCAGTGTGCGTTCTAAACAAGCATTTGACAAGTAGTAACTTAGTAAAACAGTACGGGTAGTTGGCACTGTGGAGCACGCTAAAATCGAAGCGTGCCGTGGGTCGGGTAAATTGCGGACAGGCAATGTTGGAGTCCTGGCTGGATTCTAAGCACATGGAAGCTGTCCAAATCGAGACAAACTGATAGTCATAAACGCAAGTGGGATAACAGTACAGGCCTATACAAAATTGTGGGCGAAAGACAGACGGAAAAGTGAACGCACCGACACCCGAGTCCGGGCTTTCGCAGTTCCCATTGACACCTCCGCTGGAGGCTGGTTCAGTTGAGTGTGACTCTGAAGCCGGGCTGATCATTGGCTGATCGGAGGACGTGACGACCGAGGAGGGCTCATTCTCGTATATTTCATCTGAACGATCTGGGGGCGAGTCAGCCAAGCCCAGGCTCTGCTCTGAAATACAAGTGGAGAAGAGGGCATCGCATAAGCGGCACACCTTAACATACAGGGACACGCAGTTGCGTATGCACGAGAGTTCGCGAAACTCTGTATACTATGTTTAGTGGTGGGACTCGGTGAAACAAGGAGATTGTGGTGAAGTTATCAGGAACTAGCTCATGGAAGAGTGATCTGACGATTAACGTTAGGACGTGGTTACTGTTTGACAGCGCCTAAGTAGCACATCGTGGAATTGCGCAAAAAGATATTAATATCCAAAGTGCAGACCGTGTAAAGTAGGCACAATGCACACATCGGGTGATGGTGCACACAGTCTGATGGTCGCTCAGAAAGCGGAAAATGAGTTCGCAAAGGCGAGATACCATATACTGGGGAAACAGCTTATGTTGTTAATGTCAGCATCAATGTTAGGATGAACGTCTTCCCATGGGAAAATTGATTTGCAGTGCTACGTCATTTGGCAAAAAGTATACGAGAGGGAGTAACAACGAAGGAAGAGATAACCGGATAAAGCGCGCTAGCGAACTGTCACAGTAATACAGACGTCGCACTGTGACGGGTCCACCAGCAGTTCTACCGTGCGTCCTAAAGATACTGCGACACCGTCTGCATCTCTACGTAGGCTCGAACTACTGACCCGAACATCCATGAAGCACCCAGTCACCGGAAGGATGGAACCGGATATACACACATGCTACAAACAAAACGCGGAAACAAAGTGGTACGTAAGGGTGAGATAGCTGCCCAAAGTGCATTAGCTGGGCCAAAACAGCAGTTTCATGAAGCCACAATAGTTCAAGGGTAAACGGAAAGATAAACGTTCTTGAATGCATAATTACTGATCACGGATAAATAGAAATGCACATCCGACTAATGACCAGATCTAGCAATCTACAGGAAATTGCATCACAGTGGTTTAACTATATTTTTACCGATGTCTTGCGTGTTCCAGAAGAATCCGGATTCACAAATAGTTCACTGCAATCGGGAAATTTATTGGGTGACCACTGCCTTACAGGACACCAAGTGAGGTGCGTCGCGTGGGCGAACGTAAACTTAGCCAATTGTTATACCGATGACGGGACAACCAGTTGAGCCAACATCACGGTCCATCCATTTCACATTCACTATTCACCAGGTACCCAACTGTGAACTTCAGTCGTCTGCAGTGCAGCTGGAGGTAAGATCGCAGGTTATCCACCGAAAATGAGCAGAGTCCGGCATGTCGGCACCTTCGTTTTCTGTCACCCTCCGAGAGTCAACACGAAGTCAAAGTAACGAGTAAAAATCCGTTATTCGTGAACAGAGGTGTTAATTTTATTGTGCATAAATTTCAATTGCCAATCCATTGCAGCATATTTCCAATGGTCTAATCTTGTTGTGCTTCCCATATCATCCACTTAAGTTCACTGGATCGTATAGACTGATTGCTACGACCAATCCGCGTCAGTCTTGGTTGAAATCATCCTGCGATTCGTTCACGCTGGAATGAACCAGCTTGCACTACCGGTCCGGCAAGCGTAATCGTTTTCAGCAAGCGTAGGTGGCGCTTCATTTGCTTCTGCATGTTGATGCCGTACCGGTTTCGTTCACCCAACCTACCAGGTACCAGCACAAGGTGGTGCACTCCTGCTAAGCAGTGGCTTCATCATCATCATCGTCAATACACATTAGCTGAGGGTGAGAAACACACATCAGCTAATGTGTCGCAATATAAAAAATGAAGTACACCACAAATAGTTCAAAAAACAGGCTAAAAATTTTTAGATATTATATTATGCATTTGGTATGAGATCGCAACTGGAGGGGGAATCTAAAAGAGAAGGGGATAGACAAAGAAACTCACAATACAAACGCGATCGGAGCCGGCTCTTCGCCATAGCAGCAACTGTGTACAACCAAACGTGTTCATCGTTCTTGAGACTCCAGCCCGACAGTCGGGATGCACCAACTGACGCCAACCTCGAATTGACGGCTTTATATTCCTTGTGACCAAGTCATTGCTTGGCCTCTCCTCCTTCTCTTCCAAACGCACCCCCGGCGCGCAAACAAGCAGTGGCTTAAGACTCTGAGGCTGTGGACGTCGGTCGGCAGTCGTAGGATGGTAAAGCCCAACCTACATCGTCAGAGATAGCCTCTGGGGAAACGGCACTTAAATCAGGCCGCCAATTAACCAATGGTATCAGATGATTTGATTGCGATGCCGTTTACGAAAAGCAGTGTGACCGAAGCCTTCATTACCGATGATCGTCGAAAAAAACAGAGACAAATGATTTGTGTTCTTCCGAATGTCTGGTGGTTATTTGACCGAATTGAGTTATGAGTCACCTCACCCAATGAACAATAAGCCTCCGAGAAATTCATTAGTAGACAAGGAATCGAAAGAGGAATAGAGTCCAGGAGATGCAAGAAGAGAGAGGGTTGGTGCACCTGTTGCGCAATGTTTCTCTCTTGGCACAGAATCCCATGAGGTTATTTGAACAGAGATGTACACCAGTGTAAAAATTCATCGTGTGACAGGAGAGGGAATGCGACAATGGCATAAATCGGAATGTCATTGCGGCCACATATCAGAATGCCTTCTGCGAATAACCCAAAAGGAATGAGCCCACAGTAAGTTGACACATCCCTAATGATGGTCGGCATAATGAGCAACATCATGTCCCATTGATTCTGCAGATGCAGCTAGCCATCGCACCTGCAAGAAAGTGGTTCTTCAGAGGCATCAGCGTTAAAGTGGCTTTCGTCCTTTTAGGAAAGCAGTCCCATTATGTTGAGTGAACTGTGTGTTACGTCTGAACCGGCGTTTGAACTGAAAGAGTAGTTGTGAGAAAGTGTGCCAGAGTTGGATGGCGTTCAACTCACAGTGTGTGCTCATGTAACATGGCTACAGTACAGTGTGCGGTGAAGCAAATGTATTTACCGAAAACCATTGCGTCCACTTCTCACATAAACGCTTGACGTGATGTAATTGGTAAGCCGATTGTTCATGGGCAAGCGATTCACGCAACCAAGACGCGTAGACGAAAATGACCGCACATTTGACTCGCAAATCCCTTCACCACGAATTGTTCGTCCGCTTCCATTAAAACTGACGTTTCAAGACCAACTCAGTAAACAAATAATGGGGAATTCACTGTGGGACGTACAAATGTCGACCTAACAGCGGAGCCATGTTAAGGGATGACTATGCCCAATGAAACCAATAACTGTTAGGTTCGGTCCCAACTGGTCGTCTGAATTACCCTCGGATCCTTCTGCGCCCACCACTCCGATTGCATAATTCCCATCATGTGACTGCATCATTCGCAGTGCCACACACCGATGTTATCAAATCACTGCTGCCGTAGGATTCTTTCGAAATCTGGACCAACACGGTACGTGGACACAACCCTGGGGCCCGATAGTATGGGTATCTGCTATCCGATATACAGTGTTAAAATCAAATTATCACATGTCAGCATGAACCTCTGCTACCCAATTGCGCTAAGTTTTAATTAAGCGGTGCTAAAATTTGTGGATAAGTGTTCTGTTCCCCAGCAAGGGAAAAGTGCCCGTGCAATGCAGAGCCTAGCCAGAACAAAATGAGGATTCCGAAAGGCGAATTGGTGCCGCTCTCCCTTCCGGGTTGAGTAGCGCAGTAATATAATAACGGTGACAGATGCGCTGGAGAAAACATGTCTCCAAACCAACGAGGCAGCCCAAAGAGCAACCGGGCAACACTGCATATCGGACAACTTATGGAGGTTTTTAAAGTAATACGTCCATGACTTACCGGTATTGTGCAAGTCGTCTGTCATGACGTGTAGTCGAAGAGGGTCGCCCGAAGAGGATCGCGAGTGGGTAGAGTTGTGACAGCTGCTAGGTGCTTCTGTAGCGGGAGGGGGAAGAGATACAGGTGGTCCGTATGAAGCATATAAGATTTTTCTAGACGACATGGGGTAATCACGTCAGCTGCGACCAGGAAACAAGACTGTACCAAAAGAGATCAATAGTCGAGTATATCTTTTGGGAGGTCATCCCGCATAAGATGAAAATACCTTTAATAAAGATCTGATTAAGAGAATCGGTGCATCTGACAAGTATGGAAAACAGGCATACTATTTACACCAGAACGAAGCATCTCAAACACGAAGTTTATGCTAATTCAAATCATAAGTGGTAAAAAAAACTTCGCTCCGTTTTAGAGGCTTGTGTACCAATGGGATTATGGGGTTTGGCCTCGCTACAACCAACGCCATCTTAAAGTACCAAAATCAGGCCTATCATGAATAAGAAATAAGTACAGTCGCCATACACTGGGCCTTTCTCAACGAATTGCTGCGCTAAACGTGTGAAGACATTGAGCTCGCGATCATCTAGTAACTAGTCAGAATCACTGAGCCAGCCCAAGTACGAACCTCAGTCCTGTCCTAACTACTAGTGCGCTATGGTATCTAACGAGGCCGAAGCCAATAACCCAGAAGGTTCTGGGGAGACAAAGCCCGGGGGCAGGAGTAACTTAATTGGAGCCGTCGATTAGAGTTGATTCTAAGTCTGTGCGCAGAAGATAGTGTTGGTAAATACGGTTGAAACGCTTTCACTGAATCCAAATCAGGAGCTGCAAACCAAAGAGCTGACCGGTGAACAGAACGAGGAGATTTCGATGAAAAACGTCAAGCAGCAGAGTGATATTATCGGTGCCGGAATCAGACACTGCCTAGTCTGCAGTTTGAGTTGAGTGATAATAACGAAACGGCAAGAGGAGCCACTGAACGATGAAAAATAACGCAGAAGCATTGCCAAAATGTGAAATAAAATTCACTAACCAAAACGCAGCTGAAATGTCAATGATGGAAACGAAAATTAGTAAATGTAAATGGGAAGCAGATGTCTGGAAAAACAACAAGATCGTGCAGATAAACGTCAAAATAGTGTTGGACTGGTTCCTTGGGTTGAAACTTACTCGGGGCATCCTCTTTAGGAGCAACGGTGAGAGATGGGTTAGCATTCCTCAATTCTGAGGAGGCAGAAGCTGTTATAACCGTCAAACTGACGGGATTGTTTCGTGTGTCACCACGGTGGCGCCAAGCATCGTCTATGCGTTTCAGTAACATACGAGAGGAAGTGCCTGGCTCTTGGGCAAGTAACAGCTGACTATCCAGGCCAAGGATCCGATCGCCCACTCGTAGACCGACCTCAGCGGCAACGGACGCCGGTTCCAAACTGACCACAATGGCCCCACCAATCCCGGGACCTTTGGTTAAACGCAAGCCCAAAGACTTATCAGGTACGGCCGGTGGGAGGTAAAACTGCTTCACTTGGAATCCCGTGGCAGATTCCGCCTTTGCTACCGCCTCGCGTACAAGTACAGAACTGGCACCGGAGCTTATGCTCTCACTGTGATCTTCATTGGTCTCCAGACCGTAAGCGTTCTGGGTGTGTTCCGTAACTGGAAGTCCATGGTCCTCCTGTTCTTCTTCGACTGCGTCAATAAACCGCACATCTGTCTGGACGGTAGGCATGACGCCACTCAGCATAGGGGGAAGTCCGTCTGTTATTGTTGGATATGGTGGCTGATCGTTGGGATAACAGGCCATCGACAAACCCGGGTCGACCGGGTAGGGCGGAATCGGTATGCGGCCTAACTCCAGAGTGCATTGGGACATTCCCGCCAGTAACTGAAACACTTCCTCCGGTTGGAGCCAATCGACCGGCTCACGATCCACACTTAGCAAACGATCACCAGGCTGAGAAAATCAAGAAAAAAATGGGTTACAATCGCTCAAAGGTGTGAGCAATGATGCCGTGCGAAGCAAGCTACGGCGATAGAATTGTCCTTTGGAGTCCCGATGCGTGTCGGTAGTCCAAAGAATGAAACTGAATTAATTGCAACGTTTGAGCCTCAAGATTAAGTGGCGAAACATACAGAGCAGGGGCACAGCGTGAAGGAGATATTCGATGCGCCTGGTTGAGATACCGTGATGCTTTCCAGAACTGCACTAATGAAGTGCAAAAGTTGACCTGGATGAAGCACCATAACAGGAGATCGATGATATCCGCACGAGTTGCCACCTCTGGAGCCTAACCGAAGAACGAGGTTAGGGTTTCAAGTACAAAAATGCAGAAGCAAGATGTAAAAAGTGGTTGTCAATGTTCTCTAGACATACAAATGGAAATTGCATCAGTCAATCGAAAAATCTCTAGAGTCGACACTTAGCTAGACAGGGAGCTTGATGTAGCAATGGCACATAATGGTGTACATTCAATTTAAGTCAGAACATGCGTAATCAAAACAAACGGGTGCGTTTTCAGCATTTATGTTGTAATTGTAGATGTGGTGAAATATATGCTAAAACTTACGCGCGTAGCAGAAACAGACAAGGTTTAGTGGACGGAAACGGTTATCTCGGATATTTCAAAGAAAATCGATGCATGGTCAAGATTCTTCCTAACAAGTAAAATAGCAAGGAGATCACTAGACACGCAGTGGCACCCAGGTGTATGATTTATCAATGGTGGCATTAAGGTGTAGCCCATCTGAAGGGGCTCAGGCAGAAGAACAGAGCAACCAAAGTGTGAAAATATAATCTTACTTTATGAGGCGCTTTGCAAACACATATGGGAAAGGTGAGTTACAGGTCAAAAAGACAATGAGATAATTGACGGAGGATGAACTATGTGCGAACTGGTGGCCCAAAAGCACGAGGAAGGTACTGATAATAGCCCGCGACTTATCAGCTTCTAACGACTACCACCTCTCCAGCGGCGTGTATTGCGTCATGACTTATTGAAACTAACTGCGCAGATTCAGTCAACCACGTATTACTTAAAAAAGTGCTAGCAATACTACCTGCCGATGCTTCGTTTCCATGCAAGCACAAGCGGTTGTATGTAGGCTGGGACATCCGCGCCTATGCGGGAGCGGACAGTCGAACCCGAGATGTAGAAGTTGTAAGCCAATGACCTAAACCCCTGCACCGTGGATGGGGCGTGTATTGCCTCTGAGACAACAGTGGTTCTAATCAGTCTGATCCCCGAACTTTATTCAAGCGAATGTACACCTGACAATGGGTCCGACTAAGTAGAGTAATGCACGCGAGGTAGATTTGAGTACTCGGCAGACATCCGAGTTCTGCAGCCGATCGCAATCACAAGGACATGTACAACAGGAAACACATGCCACCAACAAGAGAAAGGGGTCAGGAAAGAGAGTCACTACATCGAGCAGGGTAATTACTGGAAATGCGAGAGTCAAAGCAGCGAATTTCTGCATGCAGCGTCAACACGCGAACGCATTTGAAATCAGTGAGAAAATCAAACCAAATGTACCCTCAACGGGTGACGAGCAGGTACTGGTCACGATGACATTTTCGTTCGGCAACCAAATGACACTCATATGTCTAATCATTCGGCTATAACGTCCAATGTGGCTTTTGGTTGGACGAAAGGTGCGCTACGAAGAAAATGACTATCCCGATGGGCATCACATCCCGGGACTTACACCACCAAAGACCATTCGAATCGTAAGGGGAGGGGGAAGCTGCGGTGAATCGCAGCAAAAGGTGAGATAGGCTGATGACTGCGTGGTGAGGCACCTCGCGATTCCCACCAGTCGCGACTTCAGATCGACATGTCGAATAAGCCGAGGTTGATATTGCTAGACAGGAAAGCCAAGACCAGACGCTTGTAATCATGAGCGAAATGGAAGTGCATCAGTGAGGCAGCAAGTCAAAACCCAGCTCAGTAGAACTATCATTATTATTATTACTATTAGATCGCTCTTATTAGCTTCCTGTTCAATTGGCGAGAAGTGGAAACGAGGGGCCCTTTAGAGATCAGAAATGACGAAACGCGCTCACTTTGATCATGACCGACAGTGCAGCCGGACTTCCGGGGGCAATATCATCCACGATTAATTGACCGCCAGCTTCGGTAATCTCTTCCTCTGTGGCTTGACGTAGGAAAAGCCCGAAACTGCCTTCTGCATTGCTAGAGCCTAACAAGGGCTCGATGAAACCCACGGAAGATTGAGAGGCTTGGGCATGTGTTACGGCACCAGAACCGGGACGACACAAAGCCACAAGGTAGAGCTGCAAACGACAAACTGGTTCGCCTACAAAATGAATGCATAGGATGGTGTAACCCAAACGCGCATAACGAGGGAGTAGTATCGGTGTTTGATGAGAAGAAATGCACATTGATCTGTAAGGAGCAGCCAGGCACTTGGAGGCGATAAACAGAGAATTTTGACGGACAACGAAGAAATACGTTCGGTGTGTCAAGCCGCATGCGGCATCATTCTCACTCAGACGGTCGGACAGTGTTGCAAGTCAGTTTGGTGAACCAGAAGGATGTTTGTAGCGTGCACACCGTGTGCCACAGGCAAATGATTGAGCCAAGTTGACACAAAGAAGAAAAATCACATTAATGTATAAAAAACCGTTGTCGTTGAGAAAAAAAACCGTATAAAACAGGTAAGCGAATGTAGTGTACAACAGGAATGAAGCTGGAATAGTAGAATGGGAAGAAGTTCAAAAGTTTGACTCCAGTGAAACCGTCACCTCCACGACCTAGACAGCAAGCATGGTGGATATGAGTGCTATTGTGACAGACAATGAGCATGCGATCCCCGATATTCAGGCACACATCGCATGCGAAAAAGAAAAGGAAGAGCAACATGCACATGCATTCAAGCGTCCGCATCGCACAGTGGTGGAGACAAGAGGGGGAGAAAACAAGGAGAATGAACAAGATAGTTAAATGCGTTATTTAAACGAGATGCCATTGGGTATAATTAGAGGACGCTAAGTAATGTGGAATTCACAAGGCGTATAGATTGGAGATCAGCCTGGAAATCGTGACCGACCTAATTCCTGATCACGTATGCTATAGATTCGTGATTTACGGAAGATTACAGTCAATCACACAGAAATCAACAGGAGATCAACTTGATGAATCACAAGAGCGAAGTGCACAAGATTACGCAATAGCCATGCGCACCACAGAGTGAAACAAATCAATAATTGGTGAAAAATAGCAAGCATATGCAGAGCAAAATGAACATCAGTACAATGACATCGATCCACCGAAGTCGACTCGAAACGATGGCAGTAAGAATGGAACATTACGTAGTGCAATGGGTTGCGTATCTTCACGATCCATTGAGGTATGCTGAGTGGCACTAAGTTATTTCATAATCACTTCTACTAGATGATTTGTGGTCGATGACGCAAGCCTTCTGCAAATCTGCAGCCTACGAGTCACAAGTTTCGCTAGACTGGTACACAGCACGGGCGTCAGGAAGCCGCAAAGGTATAAGGCCCAAGCCAGGCAACACCTATCTGCAGTTGATCAGGGTAGTAAGTGCATAGTGTTCAACGATCGTAGAGTACGCACAACCAGAAATGAACCCCCCTACCCACAAGGCCTTACGTGGTCGGCTTCATGCAGATCCCCATGGGACTCTGTAATTATAGTCTCGAGCCGCGTTTTTTTTCCCATTGTCTTGCGGGCGAGACATGAGTTGAAGGCTCTGGGTGGGGGACCCAGACTATGGAGGGGAAAATGGGAGTCAAGTCCCCTATGATAATCCATGATTCGGAATCAGCAGCTCGAGATCATCATCTACTCGTTAGAGACCATCGCCAGTAATCACTCCTCCTGCATTTCCCTCCACTTTCATGGATATCCTTCACGTGTTTACCAGTAACAGATATACAATGGCTTCATCTATCAAACTATAAAGAAAACGAGTTGATTTTCAAATCAAGGACACAACCCTACATTGGATTTTTCATCACTTTCATACTACGTCAGATCCGTCAATTAATGACAGCCCCTATCAATGCACTATCCCGCGGAGTTCAAGTGCGCCGTTTCTCTGAAATAAGTTTAAGGGGCAGCGGAGTCCTAGTGCATCTAGACTCATGTCAATGGTGACATTTTGGTGCTTCCGTTCCTGGAGATGTTAAATCAGAGACTGGTAGCATTGATGGTGCTGGAGTCGTTCTTATTATGCGCTTGAAGGTTGTTCTTCTCGAATGGATTCCAGAGGACAGCCTCATATCTACTATCCGAAACTGGAGATCCATCGGAGTCAACAAGCAGCGGTTGAAAGTACGATACCTTGGTGCTGTTTTAACACGTATCCCAACTGACGGTAGTCAACGAGCCGTCAGAATGATTTAATAAGCATCCCTCCCTTTCCATCCGAATGGCGAAAAATGGAGTTACAGACGAGACGAATGCCTAGACTTCTCAGTTAGCAGCATCGAAATAAGGCCTTATAATTCGGCTTAGGGTAGATGTTTGTGGAACTAACTATGGTGATCGCCTTCTCCAGCCGTGTGTCGACCAAAGCCTCTTTCTCAACAGCATAGCTGTCCAACACAATCGCCCACATCAAGTTAGACAGCAGCTAGCAAACAGCAGACTGCTCCGAGGTTAAATTAACCATATGGCCTTCAGTTACAGAGAGCATACGACAGTGCAAGTGTCGTTCGAGTTGGAGCATGTAATTTGATGCTTTGGCTAATTGCACAAGCTCGAAGATGTTCGTTCGTCAACTGCATTCGCACTCCGCAAAGCAGTGATATGAGCTGTTATTGAACAGCGACGTAGGATTGAAATCGTTTTCAATGTAAATGCAAACAAATACCTGAGATCGCCAAGCTTAGGGCGTTCAAATTGTGAGCGCAGTTCTGGAGTTTCGATGAGGTTGATTGATGGGCGAAAGACGATTCCATTGGGACGCCAAGAATCACTGGGTCAACCGAGCGCTGGTGGACGACGAGCGTTCGCAAGTTGGAGGTCAGCGCAATGGGGAGCACAGACTCATTCCTACTCATTCGGCGTACAGGTCTATAAAGAGGTTCGCGAGTGAAACTTCGCAGAAAGATGGGCAAGCGATTCACCCTCAGTCGCGTCGACTGGAACGCTGAGTTAAGCACTATGTACGGCAGTTCGATCGGCCTTGTGTTCCAGATAGGTTAGCTTGATCATATGAATCGGTCTGGGACGTTGAGGTAACAAGTTCCACCGTTGACGAGATCCGACATGAGCTGGTAATACTGAAGCAAAATAAAGCGTCTGATACGGACGACTTTTTACCGTCTTTGTTAGTGGAGAGTGGCCTTAGCCGATCTCTCGGAATTAATTGGCTTAAGGATGAAGTGTCTTTTGAGTGTTGATCGTCATTTCTATCCTTAAAAAGAGTAAAGGACCTGCTGTAAAAATCAATGTCCTATGTCTAGCCACAAGTGCTCCAGGGACTCACTGAATCTCAAGCAGACGGAGTGGTGAAAGTCCGGTTGGTTTCCAACCCAGCAGAGTGCACAATGATCTACGCTGTGGTTGAGTGTCACAACTGTGACAAACGGCCTACAAAGAGAGTTGCCTATGATTTAAACGGTATTTTTGCTTTTTACCAAGGTTCTTTTGTGCTGAGACTAAGCTTTGAAGGGTATGTTTGGAAGGTCTCTCTCTATTCTACCACGGCTGCCGAAACTCTACAAGGGTGTACGCGGAACTCTTGTGAGCGCACAGCGCAGTACACTTGAAGTATGCTAAGCATATTCGATGTGCAAAGTATGCTATCGGAGTGGGACTTGCGGTGGCGAGATCACTGGCTCACTGCTACTCTAGTTCTGCCCCAGACTCATGCCCTGCATGCCTCATCGTGGCGGCCGCTAGGTGGGGGTCGGGTTACACTCTTCTGCTACCTAACAGCCAGGACAAATTCGTGTGAGTCGAGTGACTCATGGCGCAGTACCCACTAGCTTTCGATAGTTCACTTTATCCAAGGTCTCAACTGAGGACCCGAGTCGTTCTCCTCTGCACCTCTGAATGCCATGGAGATATATCAGTCAAATCAAAAACTATAAAGAACATAACCACAAATAAATGCATGCTACATCAGCCGTTGCGCAAGAGAGGAAAAGGGTCACCCAATATGTTGCGTACAGCGGGATGAATAAGCGAAAACATACTATCGCTGACGCCTCCTTTCTTTCGTCGCCTCCTTACACCCCGCATTCCCCCTCTCAGTCCCCAGTTCACCTGACTTGCTTTACTTGATACAACGTAATCGTATGCCTCCGTTTAAAGCGCTCATCATCGGATGCGGGAACCCGCGCACACTTCTAGACCGGAACACGAATTAGCGCCGCAAGAGAAGCACTACACTGGTCACCATGGAACTCGGGTGCCAGGGTAATGATATTACCGTACTCAATGAAACTTGGCTGACCGACCAAGGTATGCTGTAGGAGGATGGTGCTGGCTACACTTACAACTGTGTGAAATGCCACCACAGCATCACATGAACATGGCTCCGATTTGTGCTACCCAACCGCCTAAATGGCCACCTGATGGAAGAGTCGACTCGCATCAGCCCACAAGTGAGGACTGTTCGCCCTCGACTTGGAACAGGAAAGCTTGCCACTTTTATTAGCACATATGGCCTAGCATGTGTTATCCTGAAGACAGGAGGGATCAGTTTTACGCTCAGCTGTCTTCCGTGATACAGTCTGTGCGGAGGATCGGCCGGTTATTCTTACTAGGTGATTTCAACGCATGCGCTGCACGTGATTCAGTAGAGTGGACAGATGTAATCGGTCCATATGGTATTATCACAGCCAATAAAACAGATGACCGGCTGCTTTACTGTGCGCCGCACACGGCCTGACGATCACAAACCCACAGTTCGCACTGGGTGCACGTGATATTGCTAGCTGGAAGCACCCACGGATTAATCACGCTCATCTGCTCGACTATGTCATATTACACAAGCGTGACATGCGTGAAGCGCGCATGATACTTGTACTGCGTGGAGCTAAGTGTTGCACTGATCACAAGTGGGTGCGGACCAAATAATACATATATTCCAGCAAATTTGTGTGTTGCTCACCTGCGCAAATTTTATGTTGGTTCCATAAGAAATTCAGAGAAGGTGAAACTGAAGGATGCGACGGGTATAAGCATTGGCGATGCCGAACTCATAGCCTGTAAGCGACCTATCGCGTCAGATCCGTGAACAAGCGACGGCTGCTGCCAAGGAAACGACCGGGCGCCCAAAGTGTAAGCGGCCCGATTGGATTGATAACAACAATGCGA